TTCAATGATTGATCAATGCCGGAAGCTTTACCCTTTTTTTTACGAAGAAAAGTGTTAGTAGCCATCGTTAGTTATACGTCAGAGTGGTATGCGGGGTGCTGCATTTACAGTCGTTTCTAATTTTATACAACTGGTTAAATTAGATGCGATTCGGGTAATACAGTGGACAAATAATATATGAATTACTCTAATAACAATCTTTTCCATTTTCGGCCAGTTGGATAATTCGGCTACTTTTCGCGTATCACAAAAAACTGCACTTACTTCTTCACATTTAGTTGTGAGCTTGACGACCTTATCAAGTTTTTCGGTGTGATTTAGTGAGGAATCGATCAGCACTCGCCCAGTCTAGAAGCGTAGATCTTAACACTTTTACTAAAAACTTATTTCACCTTGTCTTACAGCCACCATGCGCTGCTCTACTGTCATATTGGGATGAAACTCGTCCGGATGGTGATAATTTTTCGGAATCCCTAAAGCAGTGATAGCTAAATGATAAAATTTTTTTCATATAAACTATGAAACTTCATGTTCCACTAAGAAAAATGTGTGCCTCATGCTATAATTGATAAAGTGACACGGTGATCAAAACCCGAGGAATGCGCTGTGCACTTTACTAAATTTGTAGCACCGCAAAGGTGATTTCATGTATAATCAGCCAATACAATGACTTTTTAGGGCCAACAGATGCTACAGGGCAGTGATTTCTTCATCTGACACATCTACAACTGTAAGCACGCTCCCACAATTGCACTTAACTGTGTATTTCATACCGAAAACTATAGTACTGTAAAAACACAACATTCTGAAGGATTGGGAACTACTGAAATGCGATAAGAGCTATTTTTCTTCGCTAACAGCTCATTTTTTTTGCCTAGTTCTTGTTAATGAGAAACCAATAATAGGGTATTACAAACAAACCGAATGATCGCACATGGAGAGTGGAGTACGACAACATGAAGGCAAATATCGTTAGTGGCAGCATGCTATAAAAAAAATTATGGAGAACATGAACAGCAGCGCTTGTATTACTCGCTCAAGCCACCAGATCAAGTATCAGAAACCACAAAGCGGAAAAGCGGAGAAACATCACCTTAATAGTTAGGTAAGTAGGATCTTTGCATCGGCATTCACTGCCATGCCACATTCGTGCTTTATTAATTAAGTTAATGACGTAAAGAATCTGGATTGCATCCAAATATGGAACTTTCACCCGATTCACATTATGGTTCTTCACCTTCGGCAAAACGATGTTATAGCTGTCAACCGATCACTCTGTGAGAAAGGACGAATAGAAAAGTTACGACTAGGAATCGAACCAGTCCCATGACAATGGCAACTGATTAGTGGTGTTTTCTCATTGAAGCATTACGTCTTACAAAACATGAGAAACCATCAAAGGTTTGCCAATTTGTAACAATATTATTTACTTAGTGAGAACCAAAACCACTACATTTTGGCTCACTGGATCAAAATAAAGCAAAAAGTTGTCAATTTATACTTTATTATGCCCTAACAAGTTTCTATATAAGGAGCCATTTAGATTCCCTTCTCTCCCGTCAAGGCTTGGAGAAATTTTGCGTGGACGAAATAAACTCTAGCTTAAAGGCACAACATATTAAAGGAACCCACATATATGCACTAATTAGGCAGAAAAAGCTCTGCATTATAAATGTCACAGCTTCATGTGATCTACTTGGTCTCGTAAATTCATACGTTGCTAGTTCAGTGAAATATGGGGTGAACACTAGAAATTGGTGGACTGCTCGACTAGACAAAATATTTGGGGAGGAAGAGAAATTTGAAGGTCATTCTCGATAATGAAACACAGTGTTTATTTTTCGCGAGGGTGAGATTTATGTTTCAAGACAACCTTGACGCTATACACGATCTGATAAGTGTTCAAACAATGGTTACTCTAGAAACTCGTCCTCATCGAACTTTCTCTAATTGCCCAATCAACTCATCTGAACCACGGGAATCCATGAAAAATTACAACTACAGCAACATCACTTCTGCTCTTACTGTAGCAAAAGTTCGTCCTGCTACTCAATGTTTTTTTTCACATGTGTTTTCCTCGTTTCGTTAATGTCAACTCAAAATTAGTGCCACTATGAAGTCTATTTCTTCCTGAACATTAGGTTTACTCAATTCCTTGTCTTTCTTTTTACTATTTTTACTTATATGACTTAAAAAGGTTATAATGATAAAGCTCACGGAGATGATCAAACCCTGAGGGATGCGCCATGCATTCGACTTCATTAAGCCTCGTTTGGAGGTGACTTTAATGCGTATCTGGCCTTTACAATGCCTCGTGGTGTCCCAACGATGTGTCGAGCCAGTACTGCTATCCTAGCAGACAAGTAAGGTACCAATTTGCCGAACCGGGAGGGATTGAAGGCTTGTTGGGCCATGGGCGCGGGAATCGATCCCACATGTGTGTTCAGAGCACCTCCGACCACTAAGCCACACGCGCCCATATTTATATAACTTAGATGGAAAAACTGTAATGCATTTGAAAAGATAACATCTTATGCGACATTTTTTAATACCATGTAGTTTCATCCTGTCAATTTTTGGGAACTCTCAAGCTAATAATATTGACATTTTTTAATTCACGGGCTAGGTGTGATCTGAAAGTGCAACCAAGAGAATGCTGGTATATGAGTAAAACTCAGAACCCAATGTGGAAACCTGTCATAACCGGGTTCAAAACCAAACTATAATTCCAGATCATTTTTGTTGATGGGTGATTGCTAATAGCGCCGACAGAGTAAAAAAAAAGTGGCTGAGGCGAAGGCAAAGTAAGTCATCTAGTTGGGGCGGTGGATGGCACGTGATCCCGCGTACGGGTAATCGTGGGCTTGAACACCAATTGAGGTTCAGGAATTTGCTCATAACTCAGCATCCTTATGATTAAGTAGACAGAACAAATTAAGTAAACAAAAAAGTTAACGTTGTGATTCCGACTACAACCTCAGCTTAATCGGATTCGTTACCGATTTGGGCCCCCAGATCAATTCTGTTGATTGCTGATCGCACTGATCATTAGAAAACTAACTGAGAGACAGGCGAAACGAGGGTTCCGCATGCTGTGGTGGTGAACGCATTAGTCCCTATAAAGGGTAATAGCGCGTTCGTTCCCCACCCCAAAAACTTGCGGTCCGGAGTTTTGCAAATATCTCAGCATCATTGTGATTAACTATACAGTTAAATGAACTTTCTACATTGATAATATTCTACTCCAAATTTTATTTAACTTCAGTATGAATGAGCATGTACCATCTCATTGATAAGCTAACACGAGGTTGTTACCAAAAATTTATTCGGTTAACATTCCCACGTCTTTGTTTTTCTTACAGCAGATGTTCCGAGAAGAAGAACGATTGTGGACCATCGACTCAAATCACCAGCTCTGAGGAAGAAGAAGACATCGAAATGTTAGGCGAATAAATATTTGGCAAGAACCTCGTGTTAACTCATCAATGAAATGGAATGCAGTGATCATTCATGTCACTGTTAAAGGAAAGTCGGTTTACAATAGAATTACTTGGCGACCTGGCCTGTTTATCTAATACCGACTACTGCAGGATGGATTCACCGTTGAAAAACAAATTACTGTCAAGATAAATTCATTATTAGTAACAACTCTTCTATAAAAAGGCATCATTGGGTGAGGATGGCCCATTCGATCGAGATTCTCAACTGAAGAAGATCCGACTTAATACGACGACGAAGACACTACATAGAGCGGTGTTCACCATCCACACGGATCATCGGCTCTGAGGGAAACGAATACCTTGAAAAGTTATTCGTATGACTGTTTGGTAACAACCTCGTGTTAGCACATCAGTGAAATAAGGTAGATTTTTGTACATTAATTTCATTCCTTTTTTAAACATTATGAGATGAAACAAAGCCATGATGCTTACGGATACCAATGAGATATGTTCTTTACTATTACTGGAACATTATGTTGATTAATAAAAACAAAGGACGTCGTGAAAGTTCATGAGATCTGATATGTCTCGTGAACAATGACGATTTTAGTAGAAAGGCCCTCCAGACGTGATGCGTTGCCTGTCAGAGCCGTCAGGTCGTCGTGGGCTTCGACATTTATAGTTCTGGAGCCTTCTTTTGTTGTTCTCGTCGTCGAAACCCCGACGCATAAGGATGATTATGGTAGATATCTAGAAAGAAAACTGTGAACACCTTTTCTACGTTGTTTTTTATAATTTTTTTGAACACACATAACCCTACTCTATGTGAACATTGAAAAGCATGATTTCAAAAGACTTTATTCTCACAATTTTCAAGCATACCACTGCTAATCGCTGAAGCTTGGTGTAAGAAAGTAGACAACCGAGACCCTAACACCCGGTATTGGCTCACATTTTCTCAAGCCTAAAGGCTCGAATTGATTGACCAGCTGCTTGAAATTTCTATGGTCGCTGCGTTTATTACTGCTAGATCTTTAAAAGAACAAATCTTCTTCAGCAGTAAAAGGCGTTTCAGCGGACCTCGCATCGTCACCTTAACCAGTGCAGCAACATTGTGGCTCAATGAGTTGTATCGTGAAAGAAGGTATGCTTATGGGCACCCATTTGAGCTTCTCTTTAGCTGTTCATTTGCTAGGCAGGACACCAATCGCCATTCATGTCTTTACCAACTTCTCAATCATAAGTTTTCCGCCTAATTGGTCTACGCTAAGTAATTCACGTAAACCAAGCACAATCATGTGACCACAAAAATAGGGCTGAGCGTTTAAAGCATAAAATATAATTAAGGAAGCGGAAGGGGCAAGAAAATCGTTTCCTTAATTTTACTACGCTTCAGTTACAGTACAGAATATTTTTCGTCCTTATTCAACAAACCATCCACCAAACTTGGAAACGTCAAATAACCTTGCTACTCAGCAAATTAAAATTAGTCAAGACAGGTTCGTGTAATATCTCTCTTTTGAAAGTGCTAGCAAAATAGCAAAAACTGATACAAAAACTCTACACACCAACCAATGCTCGCCACGCACGCAGTGTTAGTCGCTGCCGATTTCCTTCCCATTCAACGGCGGCTTGAGTCATGCACTCAGCAAATGTTTCCCAGTACGCTGGATCAAATCCACGTCCCTGCATTGCTGCGTGACGTCGTCCCAGACTCTGAACTCATTTTTACATATATATATATATTTATATGATAGACAAGTATAATCTACATATGTCATTAATGAGGAAAAGTAGGTGTTGTGAGACCAAAAGCAGCACATACTGCGTGCATCGGAAGATAAAAAGAAATCACAAACACTCCAAAATTTGTGATAAACAGACATCAGCACAGAGCCTTAACTAATCCACCTACTTAGGATTATGCACACCGTTCTGCATAAGTGCCAGAGTATAAGCATTTTTAAAGGCTTTCGTTTATTGCTCTTATAATCTCATATTCGCCGATGTGTAAAATCTTCAGACAAATAAGGATTCATCGTCATTTTTTCGGAATGTTGAACAAAGCCACCAACGGAAAATATAACGATAAATGTTTAAGTTTATTTGGCAAATATAACTTTTCTGATCAACTGATTTACAAAACGACGAAAGAAATGTGATTACCGACGGCTATTCGGATACAACAGTTAGAAGAGCTCTAAGAAATACACGTGATCGTTGTACCGATCCCGCACCTAGGGCTGGCTTAGGCCAAGAAAAACGTTCCATTCCTCTGTGGTCTACATTTCAAGTCATGATATACGCCATATAGGCGTTCAATTACCACTCCTCTACAATGTTCAATGGAATCATACGTGTTGCATATTCCTATGAACTCAATAAATGCTTAACGTTTTATCTTATCCTATTCTTATCGGTGTTTTTTTTTACCACCAGGTTGCATAGGTTTCTTCCATATGTTACGTCCAGACTATCTCAACGCCTTCACACACACAGCTCACCTCAAAATGGGCTTCCAATTTGTCGGTGTACTCAATGTTTTTGATAACGAAATCAAACGTTTTTGTGAAAACTGAAATTTAAGGAAATTTTTCTGTAGAATCAATATGACGAACTCACTGCTCGCTGGCACTGACCTACAGCATGTTGCCGAAACCGTGGATCATACTTTAGTCTGCCTTGAGGTATTTTTTCCATGCCAAATATTGCTTTTATATCAGGTTGTGTTGTGAGAACCATTAGAAATATTTTCGAACCGATATGTTCCGAACCGGTCTAGAAGGGTAAGATTGCATCAGCTGAAGAGTTAAGCTTGAACAAACACAAAGGTGTTTTATGTACGCTGCAGGTCTATAAAAATAATTGATAATGCTATTAACATCAGTTAGCGTACTTTTCTTGTTTTTCGCCAACTTTGTTCAAGCAGTCTTCGATCTCTTTTACAAAGGAAATGTTTCTTCTTTTGCGATGAGGATAAGTCATTACCGGTTTCTGATCTGAAGATGAAGGTGAAGAAATAAATTATAAGGCTCGTTCAAAAAAAATTTATGCGTTTGTAAGTTTTTTTAAACCTGATTAAGTAACATATATAGCGTTGGCCATAATTATGGTGTATAACTTTTCACTAGGAAATATTCTCCTAAACTGAACAATGGAGCCAGCAGTCATGTCAAAGAGTCACAAAAGTTTTGGAAATATGAAAATAAATATCGGAAACTAAACGCTGAGATTCAAATGAGAATCTATCGATACGAACAGAGTGGCTCATCATCGGTTAGCAAAAACTGTATTTCCTGAATTAAATCTGAAACGACATTCTGGTCTACAACTAGCTTTCAACCATAACAGCAAAAAGAAGAAAGGCTAGAAAAAACTTACACTGAGGAGGAAATTTCATGGCTATAACTGGTATCGTTGCTATCGTTGTTGCCACTAATAGTTAGCTTCGACATCTTCTCTTCATTTTCAGAATGTTCGTCTACGTGTAACTTAGGCGCCTGGGGAGCTGAAAATCACTAAAATAGAGGTTCTCCATCAGTGATTGTCTCTCACTTCTAAAAACTACCTTATAAAATTGCTTTTCTCCCATTATTAAAAGTTAAGCGCAAACTATCAAAAAAAAAATGTAAAAAAGGCCAAGGTATTATGGTGGAAAGATTTTAGAGGATTCAACGAAGGGTATATCTCTTTCAAAGAAGAAGTGGAAAATGTGGCAATGAGGGAGTATTTCTTGATTTATTAGGAAACATCTTTTAAAAATCTCTTAAGAAACACCTTTCTTTCGGCTTATCGACTTTTCCACCTTATATCGTTTTTCGACGAGCGGCGGTTCGTTTTTGCTGCTTCCTGCTCCCATTTTTTGAGGACCTAAATACATTATAAAAAGTTCTATTGAAGAGGAATGTGAGGAAATCCAGCACCTCTCTGCGAATACCAAATGTAATAGTCGGCGTGAATCGTGACTAAAAAAAAACTGAGAAACAAACAGCTGCTATTCAAAGAAAAACGGCTTGAATAAATCAGAAATCATTTAAAAAATCGTGAAACATAAGTAAAATCGGGAGAAAAAGGATCTCCTTCTGAGAGTTATTGGACGTTGAATACTATTTTGAATGAACTGAATACCAACTAACTAGTGATTGGCTTCTTGTGAATGACCTCTATCTCAAATTCTGCTCAGAGTGATCACAGACGAGACAAAAATTGAGCTCCACTGTACGTGAATAGTACCTTCTCATAATTCTATGATGCAAAAGTTTCGGTGTCGTCAAAAAGTAATTTCTAATATTTGTAAGCTCTAAGAAGTGAGAAAAAGTCGACCTTAGGAAAGTTTATTTTCGAAACAAGGAATGAAAAAAGAGATGACGGAGATGGGAAAGCTGACGAGATGGCTAGATGATGCGGCTAGTCGTGTGCAGCATTGGTCCATTCATTCACTGAACTTTTTTGACCAATCCGAAACGGCTCTCTGCCCATGCAGCACCACCACCGCCACCTACTCATTTACATAATAACATGACGCCAGTGTCGGCCATTACGTGATGATATTCCTCTTGCTTTTTTCGAGAAATTATGCCTATCTTGTGCAATTGATATTGAACCAAGAACCACATTTGTATTGAAGTTCACCTCTAACTGCTAGGCTGCATATGCCTCATGCACAGCACATATCACTTTTAAAGAAAAAACTCCTGCTAACTTGCCTTCATTTTCAATTCATGTCAACATTTCTTCTTCTCTAATAAACTGTGCTCTGCAATATGAGGGCTATTTAGCTTTAAAACAGTGAACAAAAAATGTAAATGGAAGCAACTTTGCGCGGCTCACATTTGGACATGAAATAAAGCTACAAAAGAAGCTTTCGATGCTAGTTTTGTTTACAATTATAAAAAGGTGTTAAAGAACGTGGAATGAAAAGATGGTTTCGAGTTCGGTGATGGCGTTAGGAGTCACGAAAATGAGAAATGTCGGACGTAAGCTGTCGTCATCGACGACTCCCGTATGAAGACTTTTATTGAAGCAAATGCAGACAGCGACAGCACGTCTCAAAAAACCAGGCATAGCTATTTAAAACGTTTCGAGGAGACTCAAGTGAACTTAGCAGTGAAAAAAACTCCATTTTAATTCCATTTTAATTGAAAGAATAGCAACGCGAACGTCGTTATGACATTTGTTCTTCGTGTCTTGTTGAAGTAAAAGCGATCTATTTTTTAATCACAAAAGTGACACGATTAAGTTCAGTTCCTGCATCGACGCACGACGTTCTAAAGGGAGACCAGACAGAAATGTGGAACACTGGAAGATTTCGAGAAGCTCGCTTCTCGTCAGAAATTCCATTTTTCCAGTCTTCGGAAGGTTCATTGAGTCACTTTATTACACTAAAGGCTGTAATGCTCATGGTAGAGGGAAACTATTACAATAAAATCGACAAAAACCATTCAGACCTCCAACGCTTGCCGAAGGCAAATTCGATTAATGGACAATGTCCTTCCACAATGCGCTTAACCAGAACAGTAGGAGTTTAAAAAAAGTAATACAGAGCTCTACGTTACTCAGTAAACTTCACCGACCACTCTCAATAAATTTGATACTTCTTCAAGCCCTTTTGCAACCAAATCCTTCAGTGTATGGTCTTTTCCAATAAACAGCTGCTAAAATTGTTCTCGAAAGAATGGAGATCTTCAGAAGTTTGAATATTTTTCGTGATGCATTAGATAAAACTTTTGCTCCATTTTCAGAAGCGCATATCATCCAGATGTTTTCGCTTTGATTAAGTTCTACGAAGAGCCACGATATGTGTGCTTGAAACAAAGCCTGAAGAACTCGTAATATTTATCAAACACCTCTGCACAAACGAAAATCCACATGGCTCAGTATATCAGAAGAAATGAAAAAAGATAGACTACTAAAGACCACGGAGAATGAGGCAAATTGTCAAGTCACAACGACAAATCGAACCTTGCTTCAGTAAGAAAAATCCAGAGAAAATTTACTGTGTGTTGAGGCAAAGCGCGTAGAAGCCGCGTTATTTGTCATTGGTGCATGTCACTGAGCATTAAAAATGAATTAAAATTAACCAAACGTGATGCTGATAAAGGTGATACATTAGGTTGTACTAAAATTAGTGTCGGATACTAACCGCTCCTTCCATGGTGGCATATCTCAACTCAGAATAAACTTTGTAAGTCGAAATGGAACCCGTAGAAATGCAAGCACTCTTCTGGTTCACCTTGTAACAGTTCCCAGGATCGACTTTCTATTAATCTCGGCATCGGAGTATGAATGCGTCGTTTTCTTGTTCAGCAATAAAACACAATACAATACAACAGTAGCTGACGTTCCGGCAGTATCACCTTCTTCAGAGCCTGGAAGGGTATACTGATATACATTCTACTAGGCCCAACGTTTCAATAACACTTACAAAAAGACGAAAAGCTTTGCGGTAATTACATGATCAACAGTTTCTCGAAAAACTCAGCGCTTTTTTCAAAACTCCAATAGTAACTTTTTTCAGTTTCATATTCTAACTATGTATAGCGTACGGATCTCTTCCTGAACCGACTTCCTTGTCGACCAACCCTTCTGTTGGCCATGGCTAAAGACCACTGATAGTTCAACGGTGGGAACCGCTATCGCGTGTTCTACATTCACCGTCAGCAACCTGGCGAGATAACTTGCATTACCCCGCCTGTGTGGCCACGTGTGCCGAGCTAGCGACTATTCGCTTTCTCGACCCAAGCCGTTCAAAGTCACTCGGCGATTGCCTCATGTAGAATGTTTCGTATCATTAACGGGCTTGCCATACATCTTATGTGCTCGAAAATTCACGACTTAGCACGATGTACTTTGCACTAACGAGCATTGGTTGCCACCGACAAATAAATTCAAGTTATTTTCTCGAAGATTCGTACTAGAGCGATCATCTAATTCAATAACTCAAACACGAAATGTGCCTCTCTTCTCCCTCGATCTCTTAAATATTTCCCAATAGCAAGTCGTTCTCAAGCAGATGATTAGTATTGCTTTGACCTCCTTTAATCACTCTAACGAACATTTCTGAAAGATATTTCCAATAAAAAGAAGAAAGTACTTCAATTGAAAACAACGGGATACTTTCTCCTGTGAAAGTTCCACCCTTCATTTTTTTCAACTGTAACTACAACTATAGTTGAAATACCACCGGCTACTCTACGTTGTCAATTAGTTCGTAACCGCCTGTATAACCGGCCGTGTGAAACAACAAATTGCGTGGTTTGCCCTTACGGCAGGGACGGTGATTGCATGAGTTCAGGTACGACATACCTGATCTCTTGTAATAATTGCGGAGATGAATATATTGGCGAAACGGGCAGAGCTTTGTGTATCCGTATAGAAGAACACCTAGATGGCAAACGAAAACTAAGACGAAGCACCTCACTAGGCACGTATAGGATACAAAAGCATAGCGGAGACGATTTTGAAGTAAAAGTCAATATCCTTGCACAGGAGACTAAAACACCAGCGCGACAACTCCTTGAGGCTTTTTGGATCAATGCCAAAAACCCTACAATGAATAGCAGGGATGAATGCCTGGAGGTCATACGCGACCTGATCACGTATGTTCGCATCGATTTTTGATGTGGGATGGTGCAGTCGTCAACCATATGCGACTATAATCAGCTGTTCTAACCCTTTTCATTGAAAGTAACGAAAAAAGCGGTGAGTTTTTCGAGAAGCTGTTGATCATGTATTTACCATGGAGTTTTTCGTCTTTGTGTAAGTGTTATTGAAGCGTTAGGCCTAGTAGATTGTACATCAGTATACCCTTCCAGGCTCTGAAGAAGGCGATACTGCCGAAACGTCAGCTAGCGTTGTATTGTATTGTGTTTCTCTATGGAAGTAAATGTATGCTGTTTAAAAACCTCGCGATTGCTGAACAAGAAAACGACGCAAGCATTTTTGTCAAACGGAAATCATGTCGTTTGCGCAAAATTGTGGACTTCTGTAGACGTTGAATTTGTTGAAGGCAGTCGCGACGTCAGCTTGG